TCCACAGCCACTTGCATATATAGACATAGGTAAACTCAATCTTTAGATCTCATTTCCTTGTCAACAGAATGGGACTGATTCTCAAGGCATAATTCCCAAGTACTATTGCAGTGCATTTCCCCTGTAAGTTGTTAAAATACATTAGGAACGTGAAAAACAAAGAATGAGAAATTCAATAGCATTTTTTACTAAATGTAAAACACTAGATCCAGACTTGACTTTATGCGATTTCAAAATAAAAGCATTACCTCAGCAAAATTAAAAACAAAAAAGGATTAGTCATAAAACCTAATAATACCTAAGCCATGATTGAGTTAATGTTTATATAAATAGATTGCAAGCTATAAACTACTATGCAAATATATCTGTGTCCACTTGTGAAAAGAAAGGTTTGGATTATTTGCCATTTAAGGAGCTTTCTCACTCTAACATTCTGGTATTCACAGTGTGGCCTGAGATGAGAATTAGTAGCATCAGTTCACATTTTCCTTAACAGCAACATTATGGTTTTTAGAAAAGGATCTGAAGGACTGGGGATATGGCTAGCATGAACAAGGCTCTGGGTTCAATTCTTAGTATGAAAGAAGGGTTGGGGAAGAAAGAGAAAGAAAGGAAGGAAGGAAGGGATGGAGGGAGGGAGGGAGGGAGGGAGAGACAGAGGGAGGGAAAGGAAAAGGAAAGAAACTGAATCCCAGGGATGCAATAGAAATAAAATGTAAATGAAATTTCAAACTGTGAAGAAATTTGATCTAGAAAAGAATAGTTTTATTTGGCAGAGAGTGGGACCTATTTTTGCTAACATAAACATGTTTCACAATATCAATTTGCTAAAATACTATTTTTAATGAGAAAATATACCCATTCAGGTTTTCTAAGTACAGTGAAGAAAATGTCAAGATGGTTGACTTTCCTCTTCTAACTATGGACAAAGTCAAACTACAGCTTTTATCGGAGAATACCCCTCCTCCCCTAAGGAGTCCCAAAGGGTGGGTTTTTCTGTTGATTTAGAGAGTCAATAATTCAGTAAAGTCCCAAGTAAATGGCAAAACACAAGCTCAGATTGGGTTTTTGTATTCGTATTTTATAAACATTTCAGGATTTTTTTTTAATGACCCTTGGCCTTTTGCCATTCTTAAAGTGAAGATCTTATATTCTGGAAACTTGGTTAGAAACAAACTCAGGCTTGCCTCATCCAACTTCTTTTTCTATGTGGATCCTACTCTAAGCAATGCCTCTGGCAATATAATCTAGTAGTTAAATGGATTCTAATATTAGACTGCCTTGATTCATGTTCTGATTCTACTCTTAATAGCTTTGAGACCCTAAGCAAGTTATTTAATCTGCTCTATGACTCAATTTTCTCAACTGTAAAATAGGGGTAATTATTATACCTACTTCAGATAGCCTACCTCAGGGGATTGCTATGAAAATTAAATTATTGTATAAATGTAAATTGCTTCAAAGAATTCCTAGTACAAATACAAAATGAAAGCTCAGTAAATGTTAACTCTCACCATCATCTGCAAATATGCCTCTATTTGGATGCTTCTAGGGACAGCAGAGGGTTCACTTGCCCCTCCCCTCCAAAAGCCTATCAACATGTAGCCGGGGACATTCTGGTTATCATGAGCTTTGGAATCAGACAAACCTAAATATGAAACCTTATTTTCTCTGCATGATGATATCTTAGTGTAGAATGGCAGTCTTCACTGGGCCATTGTGAGGGCTAGATAAGGTGCTATATAGAAATCGTAAAGTACTCTGCATGTTTCCAGTTCCATGGGAGGTACTTATTAACAATAGTTGCTGCTGTGATGATAATGATTGAAGATCAAGAAGAAAATAAAGAACAGGAGAAAGAAGAAGGTAAAGAAAAAGTAGCTCTAGTAGCCACATCAGCTGCTGCTGCCATCTATTAAAAAGTTCTTTCTGTCTTGCTGAGTTCTGCCTTCCGGCAGTTTTACCTCACACTCCTAGCTCTGCCCACTGGAGCTGCACAGAACACATGACCCAGTCTCCTTTCTGTCAGACTGCAGATACTCATAGAGGGTGGCACAGCCTTCTCCCTGCACCTGTAGCAATGGCAGTGCTACCTCTTCCCTGTGCCCTCTCTCCAAACAGAGAGCTCCGGATCTTCAAATGTTTCTCAAGGGGTATAAATTTTTATATGTTTATTACCAGGAGGTCCTTCCTGGAATATTCCATACCTTCTTGAAAGGAGCCCAAAGCACTGCAAGATGGTTTCACACTGTGGCCACTATTTTGTTCAGGGGAAGAATAGTGTGCTCCATCCCCTAGTTTCACCTCAGTCACTTTGTTCAAGCCAGGTAACTGAGAGAGGAAACAGAAATTGCCCTTGTTTACTTTGAAATTTTTGTCTAAATGACCTTCAGAGGGGGAAAAAATTGCTTTAGCTGGGACACCAGGGGGAGTGCCCCAGCAGAGCCATGTTCACTTGGAAGCAATCCATTGGATAGCCCCACTGAAACTACAGAAGGAATCTCAGAGATCAAGACATTAGTCAGTCAGGGAAAGGGTAGCATTCCTGCTGGGCAGTGGGGTAGAAACAAGAAAGGCAGCCTGGTTCCTGGCTCCAAGAGTCTTCAGAGATGAAGTTCCAGCTTTGTAGTTGGAGAAAACAGAGCCTCTACTCAAGGAATATCTCATCCAGTAATGACTATCACCTACTGAACACTTCCTGACTCAGTATTGTACCAGAGTCTTCACTGACATTATTCCACTTAACATTATAACCTAAAAAGGAGCAATTACAATTCCCATTTTACAGGTTGGTAAATGGTCTCATGTTGTATAACTTCTTCAAGGTCATATAGGTATAGTAAATGACCGAGCTAGGATTTGAATCTAAGTTTGCTTTTAACCTCATATAGATTTCTTTCTAACCACATGACCTTAAATAAGTGGCACCACCTTGATCCTCAGTTGTCTCATCTCCACAGTCTTGCATGGTGGTCATATGGACTAAATGAGATAACATACCTGAGATGTTCAAGAAACTTTTGTTTCTTCCTTTCCAAATCCCAGCTTTCCCATTTAAGAAAATCGCTTAACTTTTCTTGGACACTGTTTTTCATTTGAAAACCAATTGCAGTTTATCAGTCTCTAACCTTGCATGTTGACAACCCCAGCAGGATGCAACACAGGCCTGATGCTCCAGCCTCCTAGCTTCTTTTTCTTTCCAGCACATTTTCCTGCCTATACTCACAGCTCTAGCACTGTTATGGTTTTTGGCTTTTTCCAGCAAACATCATATTTACAAACTACAAATAACAAAGTAGAAGATGCCGAAAGAGAGCTCTGGCATGTTAATTAAGAACAATAGCAGAAGCAGCTGGGCAGAAAATGCCAAAGAGTCAGAAGCAGAAGCAGCATAGCTGTTTGTTAACAGAAGCCAATGCAGCATTGTACGTTAATCGGGGAAGTGGGTAAACATTTGCCTGCAGCTTGCCCCCCAGTGCATTGGAAGACAGACAGCAGGACGGGCCCTCCCCACCACCTTGCCTGCCCATCTGCCCATAACCCAAGAGATACTAGAAGAACATGCTTTGCCCTGAGTTTTATAAACAGAGAGGATTCTAGGGGTGAATGTGTCTCCTTAATGATCCTCCTGGGTATACCAGGTTTCCATCTGGATACAGTCAAAGATAGTATTCCCCATTCAACTTGCCAGTCTCCCTGTGACCCCAGCCTTGGCCCCCAGGGGCTCCCCTTCTCTCTAGCCAGAAGCCAGCAGAGTCTCTCATTAGGAGTGGCTTGAGTTGAGCAGAAGACAAGATTGCCTGCCTCAGGTGCTGGAGTCTTTGCCCATGGGCCCAGAGCTCCTATATGTAATAGCAACAGCTTCAGCCCTAACTAGAGACTGCCTGGCCTTCTGTCACACACACTCCCAGCTGCCCATTTGCCTGTGTGTCCATCCATGCTTTACAGTTGCTGTAACACACAGCAGCCATTCTTGACACCTGCTCTGTGCCAGACACTGTGCTAATTATATGTTTTTTCTCATTTAATCCTCACATCAGTCCTGTGAGGTTGATACTAACTCCAAAGACACAAAGCTGATAACCAGCACAGCTGTGATTTATACCAGTCTTTTAATTCCAAAACCTATATCTTCCTTCCTATACCAGTATTTCTTAACTTTCTAAAATTCATGACCCTTTTTGATAAACATGAAAATTTTGTTTCTCAGATTCAAAAACCCATCATGTCCTCTCCCTACCATTGGACCAGATGGGCATACACCTAATTTAGGATTCCTGTATCAGTAACAAATCCCCTGGTGCCAATATTTCATCTAGCTTTACTTTTTTTAATAGTCCATTTTTTAATTTCTAAAAATTTAAAGTTGAATTATGATGTTGACTTATTTTTTTTCAAACTATATATATATATATATATATATATATATATATATATATATATATATATATATATATATATATCTCCCCAAGAAGGAGATTGTGGTATGCCTCACCATGGAGATAATGGTATGCCTCACCAGGGAGATAATCATCCTCAGGTCTTTAGAATGACCATTTGCAGTTTACTATGCCTAGTTTTAGTGGGAAGAAGGTTTAGCTGTTGTCTCACCAAACACAACAGGCCCTCTCATCAGGATTTAACCAAGCAGAGGTCCCCAGGAGCATCAGTCAGCTGTTTAAACAGAATCCTTTCTGAGGGCACAGGAGATGAGGGACTTGTCTAATAAGTTGCATCTCCAGAACCTTATGACTTGAGGTCCTCCACAAAACTAAACTCTGTAACTTGACCTTTCTGAGAGCTCTGTGTTCCTCATCTGAAGTAAGAATAACAACACCTACATTACAGGGTTATTTTGAAAATCAAATAAGACATCATGAATATAGCCATGCCAGTACATAGTAGGGCTCAAAGTAAATGTGCATAGGTAAACTTAATGCCATGTGGAGAAAATTGTACTGGTTCCAGCCTTTTGAATATGTGTTTTTTTTTCTTTTCAGGTAACTCAGCTGGACCCCAATAAATCACTATTGGAGGTAAAATTGTTCCCTCAAGAAACCCTTTTCCTTGAAGCAAAAGAGTAAACACAGCTCAGCGGTGGAACCAGCCTTTCCTTGACAAGCCAGAGGCCTGTGTCAAGAGATGGGCTCCTCGCCAACCCACCCACACGCTCGTCTCACTCAATTCAATGTCACACTTCTGCCTCTTGCAAGATTGCTGGAAAAAAAAAAAGTAATAATAAACATAGCTACTTAAAATTTCCCATCCATGAGTATATGTTCCCAGCCCTCATTCCAGAGAATTGCAACTCTGCCACCCTCCCCTATCCCCTGCACTTCACCCTTGTTCAATGACTAATGTACTATTCAAGTGTGAGTGATCACTAGTAGAATTTTTACCTCTCCAGTGCCTATTTTTCCCCCACAGTGTCAAAGACAGTTCTGTCTGTCCTGTGACACCAGGATACTGTGTATTTGATATGTCTCATTGAGCCAAGACTCACACCTCTGCCTTTTTATTTTCATGACTGGATTTCTACTTTGTCACCTACTTTTAAGAGGCAGGGGGGGAGTCGAATGGGACATTCTTGGCATGGAGATTAAACGTTGTAGGAAAAAAAAAATGTATATCATTTTTGTTGGTACTTTCTGACTTCTTTACTGAGATAAAAGGTTTTGTTTGAGGATTGGTTTAACATATATGCAAGATATTTATTCACTGCTGCTGCCTTGGGTCTGCAGGTTCCATCTAGGAGCCGAATGGGAAATTGTTCAAGTATACATGTGAATGTTGAAATAGTGTACAGAGGGGACTAATACCCAGACTTTGGTATCTGGCGCAGCTGTGGGAAGCTGCTGTTGGGTTTGGATTTGGGCAGTAAGGAACCCAATGGATACCAACTCCCACATTGCTGGTCCATCAGTATACACTGAGCACAGTTCTCTCTTGCTCTTGTCTCCCTCTACTTCTTCAAGCATTCGAACCTTATCACCTGGTATTTTAAGCACCTTTTCTATTGCCAAAATCTGACCAGCTATCCCTCCAGCTCTCCTACATTAAAGAACTTGCTCTGATATTTCACTATTTTAACATTAGATATTGAAAAGAGCAAACCTGGGGGCTCAGCCCAGAAGACATGTTACCTGAATCCACATGTAATAATTTGGGGTTTGATTTAGTAATTGTGGATTTTGCTAACTATGGATTTGGGGTTTGGAGTAATTCATGGAACACTGTTTATATACCTTCACAGCCAATGATTTCCTTTTGGTCTGGGAATATTCTCCATAGCTGTTTTTGTGTCACCTGTTGTCTTTATCCTAGGGTTTGAGATCCCAATTTTTACATTTTTTACTTGAGCAAAAGAGAACATAAGAGCTTAAGTTTATTCCCCTGACTCTGGCAAGGGGTTCTCAGAAGACTCTAACCAAAACTGGAGATATGCCTGGTTAGTTTCCCTCTGACCAGAAGTGTGTGTAGGCCAAGAAAGTCCCATCTTGTGTATTTTCTCTGATGTTCCACCAGGGACTTCCCTTGAAAACTCTCTTAAAAAGAGATGTGTTCCTAACTGACTACGCTTTATCTGCCTATATGTGGACCTTCTCTGGCCCCAGGGAGACTGAAAAGGAGACCCACTGTAGGGGGAGTTCCAGCTGAGTACTTTGTCTCCAGCTCCACTCCTTCCTTCTTAATCTAGTGACTCTACCACACAGTCATTCTTGGTGCTACAGACCCACCAGGGCAACAGCTCATTTCCCAGGTGGACCTTGTTCTGTAGCTGCTGTGGAGAAGTGGCAGCCTGAACTCAGGCCATACTCAGGAACAGCAGCCAGAGTGTAGGTAAGTGTTTAAGAGAAGGGTCTCTGAATTCACCTTCATGCTTAATTAACCTTTCCTGTCATTCCCCTTCAATTCTGTATCCCAACAATATAGACTTTACTCTGAAACCAATTTTATAAAAGTTATTAAATGTTACATGAATGTGTGAAGTTGATATGCCCTTTTCAATCCTGTCTTGGAAAGTTCTCAGTCTACCCAGTCCCATGAACTCCCTGTCCTCTAGGCCCTCAGCTAATTGTCACTGTTCACTTGTAACCTTCTGGTCTACTGAGCTCTAGAACAGGAGGCCAAAGCAATTTTATACCTTTTCATGCAAACACAACATTAAAATGACTTTGTTCTCACCATAGATTCGGCGGTATCCTTTTGAGTTATCACCCCCTACTCTTAATCTTTCTTGTCCTGTACATCCCAGCCTTCAGATGCAGCAAGCCAATCAAAATATTTGTTGGGCATTCTTTGCCCAGCTGTTTCCAGTAAACTCCAGGGCTCCTTGTCATCCCCCCATTCCAGTTCACTGCCTTGTGTTCTTGGATTAACAGTTGTGTATTTGGAGAACTACTTTGAAAGTTTAAGGAAGTATTACCAATTTCCCATTGCTTTCAGAAGGTGCAGTTTGGTGTTTTTTGTTTTGTTTTGTTTTTTGTTTCTTGTGCATTGGCACTTTTGGTTTTAAGTGATATGCAGATGTTTTTTTTTTTTTTAATTTTTATTATTGGTTGTTCAAAACATTACATAGTTCTTGACATATCATATTTCACACATTTGATTCAAGTGGGTTATGAACTCCCATTTTTACCCCGTATACAGATTGCAGAATCACATGATATGCAGATGTTAATCTCCAAATGGTAAGCGACCAACGTATCCATTGAAAAAAGAGCACTTTTATGGAATTTTTTTAATATAGGAGAATGAAAAGTATTTATAGAATTTACTTACTGATGCCATTTAAAACTTCAAATACATTTGTAGTTGCATTAAAATTCCTACTTCCAGAAGCTAGATGTACTGACCTGTGTGTGCTGGTCAGTGGGATGGACTTTTACAAGATTACAGAGCTCTAGCAGATGTCCTCCTAAGCATGGAAGTTTCATGTGGATGTAGGAGAGGGTCTTCATTAGCAGCATTACTGATTGACACATTTAAAACCATCCCTGTTAGCCTCTCAACTACCCAGTCCTAGACCCCCAGGTGGATGGGACATGGGAGTTCTAAATTTAGCCCAAGAGTAACTCACCTAGACATTGTACTTTACAGTGTAAATAATCCTTCCATATGCATTTTCTCATTTGAATTTTTCAAAAATTATTGGAGAGAAGTTTTCACAAACACACACATCAGAGACTTTGATGTCTTCTGATTTGAACCATCATTTGTTATTTAGTAGCTGTGTGACCATAAGGTAAGTAACTTCTGAACCTCAGTAACCTGGCAGTGTGCAGATAGCACTTGGCAATTTACCTCACTTCCCACACTCATCACTACTGTCTGCCTCTGTGAGGAAGGAGAGGTGACCATTCCATTTTTGCACATAGACCCCGAAGGGTTGTAACTGGCCTAAAGTTGCACAGCATGTCAACAGAAGAGTCAGAACTCAAGCCCTGGCCTTTGATTGTCTGCTGCTCTAAATTTCATGCCAAGAATGAGTCTTGGAATCCTCTACTATCTATACAAAAAGTTATAGGTTTGTTTGTTTATTGGTATGGGGAATTGAACCCAGGGATTCTTTACCACTGAGCTACATCCACAGCCCTTTTTGGTTTTTATTTTGAGACAGGGTCTCACTGAGTTGCTGAGGCTGGCCTTGAACTTGCAATCCTCCTGGCTCAGCCTCCTGGGCATGATTACAGGAGTGTAGCTTAGTTTTATTTTTCTGGAAAGGGAATCTGCACTCATCAGATTCTGAGTGGGATCTGTTGGCAAAAAAAAGAAATTGAAGAACCACCATTCACATCATGCAAACATTAGAATATTTTGGAAATTGAAACTGTATATCCTATTTATCAAGCCATATTATCTAAAATTCCCAAAGAGGGTGAAGTATAATCCATAGGCTTTATTCCCTTGAACCTCCCTCCTCATCTAATACCTTTCCCTTGTCTCACATAATCTGCTTTAGAAGATGACCCTTAACAACCCCTCTCTGCTGCATTTTGGAAGTTTGATCTGCAAGGAAAGAGACTTGATCTCTAGCGTTCCATCTCTCGATTCTTCTTAACATTCTCTGTTAGTTGTGGTTCTTGGTTTTGGGAGGGGCCAAGAGCACAGCCTCTGGGTCCAAGCCATCTCAACTTAGTAGCAGTGTGACCTGAGGAAGTCACTTTACCTGAGTGGGTAGTAACAGCAGTGAGAAGTGGCAGTTTGTGGGAGAGGACACAAAACCAGGAGAGTAGAAAAATCTACTCCAGACTCTAGGGAAGGGACCAAGAGCCCCGCTGGACACTTAGGATGTACCCAGTACTGTGCTCAGCATTACAGACCTTTCCTCAGGTAGCCTCACAACAGCCCTTGAGGTGGGTGTTCTTGATCCCCTTTAGAAGAGGCAACAGGCTCAAAGGTGAAGCAATTAACCACAATAAAGAACAGGGACAATTCTGACCTAGACTTCTTACTCCAAAGCCCCTGCTATGTTCATGACAATGAAGTGCTGCCTTCGTGGAAAGCATAGCATTACCAAGGCATTATAACGGTAGTGACATAAAATGTTGGTGAATGCTAGGAGAAGTAAAGACAACTCCAAAGACCCATTCCCTAAGAGTTCTTATAACTACTTTTATATAGAATGTATCAGGAGCCAAAACGTAAGGAACACCTTTTATTTTAAGTGCATGTAATAATTTTAAGACATCTCCAAAATCCATCCCCTGCTCCTCCCTGATTTATCTAACTGCTGTTTTTTCCTTCAGATCTTTATCATCTCAGTAGGATTACAAAATCACGTTGTGATTGATCTTCATTTCTCCAGCATTTTCTAATACTAGACCGGTCTTCACACCACTTCCACAAAGGGCTCTTAACACCTGCCCCACCATGTCCCCACCTGCTTTGATCCTCTTGAAGGTTTCCTTTTACCTTCCAAATAACACCCAAATTTTTGACTTGGATTTCAACCCCTTAGACTGAAACACTTGACCCCTCCCTCCCTTCTAGCCATACACTCAACACAAGCAGCCTGCAGTTTCCAGAACATTCTAGCTCTTTTGTCATCTTTGGCCTTTGCACTGATTTCCTCTGCCCTCATAGACTTCAACTATCCATCCATCCACCCATCCTGCGCTTTTATTTTAGATTTCCACTGCTCCAAGATGTTTTCTTGACCATTGCCACACCCCCTTACACCTCCAGTCCTGGGAATCTTCAGCCATGGTGCTGCTCTTTCCATAGTGTTGCATCTCTCTGAACTATAACTCTTATCCCTAATGTTCTTCCTCCCTTGACCCAGGCTGTTAGCTCCTGAAAGGGTCTGAGTCATTTCATATTATCAAGGCCTAGTTGAGTGACTAGTACAAAATAAGCACATAATAAATTTGAATATATTAACTGAATTTGAACGATATTGGTATGTATCCAAGTACTTTAATAAGGTGGTCACTTCACTCTCCAACTTATCTGGGACCATTGAGAGGACAAAAACAAGATCTTAATCATCTGTTTATTTCCAGAGCCAGCCCAGGGTCTGGCACATAGTAGTTGTACACTCAGTGGTTAAATTGATTGGAGCTGGAACAAAATCAACTGGAGCTGCTGAGGAAAGAACAAAAGGAATTGGTGTTGAGTTCCTAGGTAAGCCCAGCACCATGCTATGGGCTTTATTTTGTCTGTCTACCATCCCACCCTCAGAATTACTCTCTGAGGTAGGCACTAATATTATTCTTATTTTGCAGTTAAGAAAACAGATTCTGAGAGAGAAGTCACTGTTTCAGACACATTGCTAGTAGGGAGACAAACTAGGCTTCTTCAGATCTGCACCCAACCTCATGCCTACTCCCCTTCATTCGTGGGGCCCCACCCTGAGCAGCTTCAGCAAGTGTAACTTCTAACCCACAAGTCATAGACAATAATAAACATTCTCACATATTTCCCTTTGCCTTCTAGGATACTGTACTCCAGTTTTCCTTCTTCTTCTGTGAAAGATCCTTCTGTCTCCATGCAGGGTTTATCTACCCTGCCTGACTGCTACATATCAAAAGTCCCTGAGTTCCTTCTTCAGCCCTCTGCTCTTCTTTCAAACTCTTGGATATGAGACAATTTACACCCAAAACTCAAGAGTTTGCTTCAGACATAAACTCCATAAGAGTACAGTCAATCTGATTTGTCCTTTTATCACTCAGCACAGACCTGGCATTGCATAGACACTTGATAAATACCTGTTGATAAGAGAATGAACACTTAAGTTTATTATATGCCAGAACTAAAGGATTATTTGTATTAACTCGTTTACTCCCCCACAAACTTATGAAGTAGGAGCTATTGTTTTCCTCACTTGATTGCTGAGCAAACTAAAGCACAGAGATTAGGTAATTTGCTCAAGGTCACACAGCTAGGAAACCAAGGAGCCAGGAATCAAACAGGCCATTTGGCTCCAGTGTTGTATGGTCTCTGGGCCATGCAAATCCACCAGGCCAGAACCACTACACTGCAATACTCCCAAGAACCTCCTAGAATCTCCAATACACATTAAGAACCTCTTCTAGTCCTTGTGTTTTCACGTTATGGTGATTATTTGTACAAGTTTCCCCCACTGGACCATGAGAGATTACCCCACCACCATTAAGGGACCTGGTACAGGGCACAGATAACAAATGTTATTATGAATGAGTGAACTACAGAACTACCATGTGAAGTGGAGTGTAACATCCATATTTCATACATTGATAAACTTAGGCTTAAGAGAGGCTGAGTCCTTTGTCCAAAGTCTCATAGCTACTTTATTACCTACTCATGAGCCATACTTGGCCCTCTCTCCAAAGCAAATTTTTTTAATCATGTTTTCAGTAGACCAGCATTTAATTTGTACTATTTAAATGACCTCTGCCTTATAAAGATCAGGTTAGCTTTGACTCATCCACTCATGCTTGAGCCTCTTGTTAAACATGATTATCAGCCCCTACCCTTGACCCAGAACTCCCAAGCCCAGTGGGGCAGCCAATTTCAGGGCAGTCCTGGAGGAGTTTCCAGTCTCAGTTCCCCAGTCTTGGGGACGAAAAGGCCTCCAGAGAGAGGTAAGGCCCATCTGGGAGCTCTAACTAGAGTCCCCTCAGTAATAAATGGGCCTGCCAAGCCTGACAGTCTTAAGATCCCAGAATGAGAAAAGGGAGGTATCTTACATTAGAATGGAGCCTGCCT